CGGCTGAGTTTGGGTTCCAGATTCATACTGCAAAACATAACTGCATGGCAATGATTTAGAGTCTGACACCAATTTCCTATTTTTCCTCCTAAATCTGCCTGTTTACTCAGCCTATCTATAAATAAGTGGCAGGTTATTAGTGTCACTCAGATTTCCTAAAAGTTTCTGTTGGCTGTAAGCGCAAAGAACATGAGAGTCAAGATCTCTCTTTGCCTCCGTTCCAAAACATTTTGGAACAACAAGTAAATTGCCTTGCTTTGTACTGCCTATGGGCTAAGGCTCTCATTTTGGACACAATACATAGGCAGAAATTCACATGAAGTCCACAGAGGACTCTATTGATTTCAATATGGATAGCATGTTACCAAGCTAACAATGTGATACTCTAATAACAATAAGCATAAAATACAGTGATGCACATAAATTTAATGAATGAGTTTATGTCTTTATTAATTAACTTATTCAAATCTTAATTAAATTGTTAATCAAAATTTCTCTTTCTCTGTCCACCTTTTTTAATTAGCTTGTCGTGGTGCATTGTGGCATTGCTTTCTCAGTTAATACATTTGAAACAGCCTTACCATGGGTTTGGGACATATCACTAGGGTTTGGAACAGACTTTTTTTTATTTTATTTTGGGATCACATCCCATGTTCGAATGCCCCGAACAAAAACCAAACGTGCCATTACATCATTTGTGCCAAGGAGCATTCAGTTACTGAACAGATCGGACACAGGCACATCAACATTTTTTTTTAATAGTGTATTATTATTATTTTTTTTAATTATTTATTGATTAATTTCAACTATTGGACTGATGATGTTGCATGTTAGACCACGATAGCGTTCTTGTTATTGTGTGTTTTAGTTTTTTGTATCCTCTATGTCCACATTGCTTTTGGATATTTGGGGGTTTTACTGTTATGTGCTGATGTTCAATGTGGCTCTCTTGAGTGCAAAACAAATTCCCCTCAGGTCAATAAAGGTTTCATTCATTCATGTTCTCTGTTCTTGAGTTTAAGTCTTCTGCAGATAGCAGTCTTTCTCATTAAACTGATCTCCTGCAGTGCTGGAGATCCATGTGCCAGTGTGATTCAGCTTGAGTTTAATCATCCCTATTATCCAGTGCATTTCCTCAGTATCTAGAATTTGTGCTTATAAACAATTAATGATTATACTGAAAACAAAATGTGGTGGAGCCAACCATGGGGTTTATGGGATAAAATGCTTTAATGTGAAAAAAAGACTCCAACAGATGCTTGAGGTGAGATTAAAAGGCATGGCACTGTTGCAGAACACAGCAAAACCATAATTCCGCTTATATGTAAGAGCTGCCTTATGTTCTCCATTTATTAGCTTCTCGAGACTGAAATATAGAGCACAGTTCAGACATATCTCATCTACGCTTCCAGTTTTTCCACATTTTCTTTGAATACACCACTTGCCAAACTGTCTCAATTCAGATTCTGTATATGGTACTTTGTAGTGGGAATGAAGAAAAATACCCTGAGGATATTTTCGACAGACTTAGATCAATTACACATGCTTTCCATCCAGTATTAATGAAGTCATTAAAACAGAGGGAAATTATATTCTTGTGCTATTTCAAATTGCCATGCCTGTCAGTCATAGTCTAAAATATTCATAATTAAAGTAAGAGTAGAGTATGATTTGACCTAAAGATGTCTCAAATGGCAACTGCTCGGCTTGTGCAGGAAGAAGACAATCTGGAGGCTGCCAATTTTCTTATGGAGCATTTGTCATGTGACTTATGACTGTTAAAGACAGATAAAAACATTTTCTGACAAAAATTATTTTGTCAGAAAGCATGATTGCTTGTGATTTGAATGGCTGTGAGAAAGTTATTTGCCATCATAACTGTGTAATTTCGTTATCTACCAGCAGGGTGATTTGACTCTACGACCTCTCAGCGCCAGAAATCAGCAACTTCCCCAAAGTCCATATTTAGAGAGCCTCTTCTCATTATTGATATGAGGAAATAGCAAAATCTCAAAAACTTCTCCCCCAACTCATGTTTAAATAACTTATTTCAAATCAGCAACATAATCTGACAAGTCTGTTACACTAAAGAGACAATTAAAAGTTTATTTTAAAGAGCAAAGTATTCATACATGCATCGAAATATGGATACAGACACTTACCAGTAGTCAACTAAAGAGACATCTATGTATGTCTATGCCTATGGTCTTCAAACCCACTTGATCACCTGTTAAATACAGGAAACACAACATATACTGTAATTAGACAAGGGCTGCATCCTGAATCAAATTCTTCCTTACTATAGGCCCTCCCAATTCACAGTGATCGTAAAAGCGCAGGCAAAACGTTCCCAGATGACCTACTTCTTCCAGTGAGATTCTGAAGTGTGCATACGATGGACACTTTGCTATCTCATGAGGCCACTGGAGAGGATTTGTGAATGGCAGTGAAGCGAATACAGGGCAAAACAGTCTCAGAGCAATTCGTAACTATGTTTGGGAGTGAGTTTCAAGATGACCCACAGTCATTGGTGGTAGCAAAGTTGATGGGAAGCGTGTATCAGATATTCAATGTATTCCAAAGGGATTATTTTGTTTTTTGGGCAGCTTCAACCCAATCTCATCAGAAAATGTAACTATTATACGAGATGGCTATTTCGTATGAATTTGTACGATTTGATTTGAAAAGAGGTCCACCCTGAACCTCAACAGCAAACCCGCCTGTATGCCGTACACCGAAACATAAAGTACTTACGAATTAACCCGGGACTGAGTTGGCAACTTGGCAAATAGTAATTTAAATGTGTTTGATACAGTGGATAACACTAATTGAATGCTAAAGCAGTTTCACATATGCATATAAAACACCCATACACTACACAATTTTCTGGCTTCCCAAGGTGTTCTGGATGTTTTCATGCACTCAACACTGGGGAAGTAGAGTATGGTTGGATATTTTAAAATCAATGGAACTGAGAGAAATCGAATTCCATGATGCTGAAAGCAGCGTTTGTTGTTGTTGCTGGCATTAGTTGCAGAGGCAGCTCTTGAGAGCCAATTAGAAACATTATTACGAAATATTAAAGTGACCTTAGTGGGGTCGAATCACATAACCTTTGCAGGTGGGGTCAGAATTGATCTGATGGGAGGATTAAAAGGTTAAGATTTTATGATTCATGATATGACTTTGGTACTGTTCACCATTAAAGCAGTCATGTCAAGTATTTGTCAACTGCTCCTCAGTTGACTGCCAATGGTAAAAAAAATAAAAAGTAAATAAATATATAATTCATTACCCAACTGAACATGCCTTGAGCAATCAGTGCTTTTGTATTGAGTTTTAAAAATATATATATATAAATATAACTTTTTTCCTTACTTAACATTTCATTAAAACAAACTTTTTCTTGCTGCTGTTGCTACAGTTACGAATGCAACTTTCACCCGCATGTATGGACTATAAGTAAAAACGTGTGCTGTGATTCGCTTTGTTAAATTTTCTGATCATAACTGTAACTTACTTTTAGTGCTATTCATTTTAAAATGTGCACAAAATGTTACATTTTAACAGACACTATTCATCAACTGTTCAACAACTGTTAGTTCATTATTTTTTTAATTCAGAATAAATGAATTGATTTATTAGATATAGCATGCAGTTACTTAAAAAAGTATGGTTTATTTTCCACTGTTTTCATGTACCCTATGAATAAATGCATTTGAACCATTTACTTCACACTTTCACACAATATTAATATACCCATTTTAGGGGTCTTTGAAAAACATTAATTCAAACAGTAAATCAGCCAATGTTTAAAGGGATAAACAATCAGGAAACTTGTTTTTGCCACTCTCACAATTCTGACTTCTGTTCTTACAATTGCATGATACAAACTCACAAAAAAGTCAGATTTGCGAGATATAGGTTAGACTTGTACTCATAAATTTTGTATCTTATAATTCTGAGATAAGTTAGAGTTGCAAGAAAAAAAGTCAGAATTGCAAGATATAAACTCGAAAATGTGAGTTACTAAGTCAGAATAGCCATTAGCTTGAGGACATAGGCAAAATCCTGAAATTAAAGGCTTTCTAATTCCGGTAATTCAGGCAGAGACCCCAAGTTTTCACTTTATATGGATGAGCTTACACTCTGATAATAATTCTATAAAGAAAACAAAAGTCTTTTAAACGGGGTAGTGAATTATTCTTTGAGTATTTTTACATCAACGTGGAAAAGGACTTTCATCCTATAAAACAAAAAAAAAAGATTAAATCAAACTTATTAAGTCATTTTGCAGGAGAAATCAGGTTACATACTGACATGTAGGCTATGCTTCAGTAAAACCTTCTTTTTCAGGTTGGTTGAATTCAGTTATAATCAGTAATCTTAAATCATTTATTTAATTTCAATAAAACCTGTTTTCAGGTTGGTTGAACTGAGCTAATCAGTCATCTTAAATGATATTTTTTCACTTCAATAAACCCAGTCATTGTAGATATTACTACATTAAGTAAAATTTCTAAGTTGAACTGACTAAAAAAAAAATCAGTGTAGTAGGCTATGTGTAAGACCTCATGTGTCTTTTTTGACATCCTTAAAACTGGCACGAGTCTGACCTACCTACTAGGTAGCCTATAATATAGTTAATAATAATAAATATTATTTTAACACATGTCCATTTAAGGTGCTATTTAAATATTTGTAAACAATGTAAAAATTGTTACCTCAATGATCTATTTTCCTCGTTTCCTTAAAATGACTTATTGTAACTTAATGTAAATAGTTTGATTCCATCATGTTTTTGACAAATAAAACCAATTGATATGTCACCACAAGAAGTACATTTTGTTTACCTGAAACACTTTTATATTTAAAATAACACATAAGCACCACAGCCAGCCTGTATTTTTTGAGGAGCTCAGCACACGAGTTGTTATGACAACTCCCGCTCAAATAAGAGATGCGCTGCGCGTGGTTTGCTTCAGTTCGGAGCGCGAGCCAATCATCTAGGCAGCTTCTCCTCTGATCACGAGCTGGATTTACAATTCCGAGCAGCTGCTTTAAAAAAATAACTTGGAGCGAACGAAACGGTCGCCATGGGGCAACACGGCGCCAAGACTGTCGTGTTCCTTATTAGTTTTAAGGTGAGGAGGAAGCAAGCAAGGTGAACATTCGCGTCAGACAAAACAACTGAACTACAAGACAGAAATGAGTTTGAGGGGCTGAGAAGATGTTGAGACGGACTCTATCTCGTATTTCTGGAGAGAGGAATAAGGGACGCGCTGATCAACCACAGGCGACACAGATTCATGGCTCAACTGTCCCCAACTTCTGTTATAACAAGGCAGCTGGAATGACTCGCTTTTTACAAGTATGGGAAATACCAGTACAACGAAAAGATACAATATATCCAAGCATATAGCCTACCCTTTCACTTTAATAGACTCGGTCCGTTCTGAAGTTGTTCTATTTACTTCCTCAGGTACCTTGAATAACTTTACTAACCAAACCTCGGAGAACAAGTTGTTCCGGGATGACAGAAAATATCGCCTTTCTGACGAACAGCACAGAATTGGGGCACGTCGGTCGCGCGTTGGGTTCGAGCGCGCGTCCCGCCTGGGCAATAGCGGTGCTGGCCAGCGTGCTGATCTTCACCACTGTGGTGGATGTTTTGGGTAACCTGTTAGTCATCATTTCGGTGTTCAGAAATCGGAAACTGAGAAATGCTGGTGAGCTTTCATTTATCTTTATGGGTTAAACGCTCGTGCGTGCGCTCGTCATTGATAAAGTGATTCGCGCGCCTGCGAATGGTGATACAGAAAATGAATATTGTAGGCTACTAAATGACTTGTTTCCTTTACTTAACTCGAATCTCATTTGACATGCTGCCTAAAGTGTCAATAATGGTGAAAAAACGTGCATATATTCTCTGAGATGCTCGACTGTGTTTTAGGGTTTTGAGTTAAATGAGTTTAGAGTTAAATGTAAACCATGTACACGTAGGCTATCTGATTTACCTTACTCCTGAATTATGAAGTAATTTACTAACATCAGAGTGTTTCTACAGTGTTAGTGGAGAATTACATGGTAAAAAGAAAATGTCTTGAAATGGCCAAAATATCACATGTAACCATACCCAAACAGCAAAAGTCTATTGAAAAAAGTCAGCTTCTTTTTGGAAGTGGACAGCTAAAAGTTTGTTTTGAAGGCAACATTTTAGCACTCAAAGTGCTCATGCATAAAGAATTTGAGACTTCCAGAAACCATATCAATATTTTTGTCACTCACAAGTTCTTCACAGTTTTGGGGAGAAACATCTTGTTTCAGCATTTTTAAGTCAGAGCTTAAGGTTGTGTTAAGATCACCTCACTTCGACCATGGCATGAAAAATTTACAGCAGCTTATCACCCTCAGCAGTTTGGGCTTCAAAGACTTATGACTGTAGTTAAGGCATAACTGCATGGATGTGTACATCAATGAAAAATCGGGCACCCTTCTGAGCCTTGTTAGACCTTTCATTTAATTGTAAATGGGTGTGTTTGATGTTTTTGAATTGATGTTAAATCTAATTACCCACCTGAATGAACCCCTAACACATGAACAAATTGTGTTTTCACACATAATCCTGTCTAAAAAAATGTTTTAGGGGAACGGTCGAACAATTGAACGAGTCAAACTGCTGCAGGAGTTGTGATGACACTTAAAGATTCAGAGGAGAGATATATTTAAGCTCTTTCAGTGGCTTTGACAATGTGTGTATAAGCACGTGAGTGTTTGTGGGATCTTTCCACACACCACTGATGCAACCGAGTGGGACTGCATTCAGAACCGCTTGACAGTTTGCGCATCTGAAGGGACATACACAAGACGAAAATGGCAAAATATTTAGAGATCTCAATCGCAAATCACTGTTCAGGAAATTAGCAAGAATTACACAAATAATAGATAAAGTAACTTAGCACAGAATAGCCTTCCACAATTCAGAGCTTTTTACAGGAAGAAGAGCAAGTGTTGTTCTCCTCAATGTTAATGGCTTACAACAGTTCATGGGTAGTTGAACAATGTCCCGCAGTTCATCTGAGTTTAATGTGAGATCAAATTTAATAGGATCCAAATCTGGACACTGATCAGCCCAACACATGATCCTGATGGACTTATTGATGTTCTCAAGCCACTTCTTGGTTGACTTTGCAATTTGGACAAGAGCATTGTCTCGTTAAAAAAAAATAACATCTGATCATTTCTCAGATAACAACTTTTCATTTGTGGGAAGCAAGCCATTCATGCAATATTCTCCTCTACTCCAAAGCATTAAATGGCTTTTTACAGTGAAGCTGAAAAGGCTCCGCACTCAGTGACACTCTTCCCCCATGCTTCACTGTGGTAGAGATGCATTTATTATTTTATTTCTCAGCAGATTTTCGAAGACACCGCTCTGGAGCATCACCAATTATGTTTCTGGCCAAAAAATTAATTCTGTCTTTGATGTTTTCCAAAGACAGCAGTGCCTTTTTCAAGTAGTGCATTTGTTTAAATTTGGCTAATTTGCTGATCAATAATTTATGGTTAAGACAATTAAAAGCTTAGTGTTTAGACTTTGTTTTTTGCCCAGGAGTGTAACTGACACAAGAGCTCGCTTCAAAAGCTCATGCTTTTTCGCACTGAGCAAGAACCAGACCTGTCTGCTTCAAAGGCGCACTAGCAGTCTTATATCACCCTCTGTCTGATAGACACTCCTGCCTCTCTCTGCCTTCCCTTTCCAAAGCTATTCAAGCACATGGAGGTGGCATCACCAGCTCATTAGATTGAGTATGAATGCTGTCAGATTTTGCACGTGGTTTTCCCCCCGATGGCTGCTGCGATTGCCACTGTCTTCTCGCCTCTCGCCTGAGTGGATCTTCTCTGAAGGAGGAGAATTGGTTTCTTCATCTTTCAGCCTTTTGTCATTACTGGGGCCAATCAGGCATCTCACACGTGTAATAACACTGTCACTAACACCCAAAGAGGCTTTAAAACACCACAAAAGTGCACGGAGAAAATGGGATATTTAGTGGTGTGCGCCGTGTGTACTAACAAAGGCAGAGAAACAATGGAAACTGAAAGCCTGAAAGTGTCTTCAGAAGTAGAATTGTATGTCTCTAGAATCCTGTGCGCAGATTCACCTTGTAATCACAAGCATGGAGATAAAAGATTTGTGACTGACAAATAAAATCTTTTACATTAACAAAGCACATTCTAATGAGAGGACGGGTATGAAAGAGACTGTATAAAAAGACTTTTTCTCTTTCTCTCAATGTGTTTCGCTTCTCCGTTTGTGTTATGTAGAACTGATGCCATGCTTTATTAATCAGACTTCCATGTCGAGTTCACATTCAGGGTTACTCGTACAGCTGTTATTTAAAGGCACATGGCGACCAGGGCTCCTGGAGTATCTCTGTCGGTTGGCACCTCTCCCTTGCACTGTCCCCTGTGAGGTTATGTAATCGTGTTTCTAGAAAGGAGGTTGAGTGCCAAGTGAAGTCAGTTTCCTGGCAGGCCCCTGCTCTGCCACATAACAGTAGTCAGCATGACCGTCAGTACATGTGTGTGGTGAATATGGCATCGCAAGCCACAGGCCACCAATGAGACGGACTGAGTGTTTCCGTGCTGTGTTTGGGGAAGTGTAGTCTTGTAATTTTAGCTTGAAGTCAGACAAAATAAGACTTTAGGCTTGACATGAAGCCAAGACTTTGGAGAAGATTAGAGACCGCTAAATGACTGTGACTGGTATGACGTTAGCTGTAAGTTTTGATTAAGTCAGAGATCTGAGGTTCAGATTCATATTTGGACTTAAAAGGATAGAAAACTGTCAACATTTACTCACCCTGACATTGTTTCAATTTAGCATGTTTTTAAAAAATATCTCTTAAGGCTGCATTTGTTTGATTAAAATGATAAAATTATTTAAAAATTATACAAAAATTTCATATATTTAAACATTTTATTTTATTCCTGCGATGCAAAGCTGAATTTTCAACATCATTACTCCAGTCTTCAGTGTCAGATGCTGATTTGCTGCTCAAGAATACATTTTTATTAGCATAGTTAAATAATGATAATTAACCATTTAAATTATATATATATATATATATATATATATATGAAGAGTTCAGATGCAAAAGCCTCTAAATGCCATTTGAAATTTTCTTCTTTAATGATGATTTTTATCAAACTTTTATATTTTATTTCATTAATTTCACTTAAATAACAATTAATAGGCAATTATCATTGCCATTTAAGTGAAATTACTTAACTTAAATATAAAAGTTTGATAAAAATCATCATTAAAGAAGAAAATTTCAAATGGCATTTAGAGGCTTTTGCATCTGAACTCTTCATATATATATATATATATATATATTATCTTTTACAACATAGGGATGAATGATTTTCATTTTTGGGTGAACTATTCCTTTAAGGAATCTTTAGAGATATATTGTGTTTGGTTCTTGTTTGTGTTCGGAGGGCAGTTTGTGCATTCATGCTTATTTCTCGGCCACAGGGCTATGCATGATTAAACCTAAATCGGGTCAGTGTCCATCCGCAGAGTTGTCAAAGCCTCTCAGCATCTGTGGTGCTTCTCGTATAAGGTGTATATCTGCTCTCTCTCACGCCCTCTCTCTCTCTCTCTCTCTCTCTCTCTCTCTCTCTCTCTCCTGCCTATCACACGGACAGACACAAACGCAGGGAGACCAAAGAAATGAACACCAATGCGTAGGCCTGTCACGATAACAAACAATAAATTGTCCAAGAAATTATTGCGATAAATGATAAAAATGTCATTCTGATACCATTTACATCTAAAATAATGCTAATGGCATAATGACATACACCTTTTCAAAGATCAATACACTTATTTCTAAAGACTATTTAACACTAAAAATAGAAAACATTTTAAATTTCTAGAGTAAATGTACAAAACAACCAAAAACTATAAAAGCAATGGACTCTCATTCTCTGTTAGCAAAAATGCACTTGAATAAATACCAAAAACAGTAAATAAAATGAATGAAAACAAAACCCGAACCTACCCTATGATAAATGATTTGTTTTTAAAGCATTAACACACAAACCACTGTTAATTTAATAAAAGCAAGCATCTACTGCGTGCATGGTCTTGCATGACTGAATGCGTGCAAAGTGCGCTCCCTTGATAATTCCTAAAAAGCTGACAGTTCATCGTGATCTCATACATCTCAGTTATTATCAACGAAGCTGACTGCACAATGAATCTTTCATAATATCCACACTTTGTTTGTTATAATTAGAGGATTTGCCAGCATACTCAGCACTGAAAAAAAGTCTATCTTGCTTCTGATTGGCCAATGCGTTTAAGAAATCAACCCATATGTCTTCTGATTGGTTACATCGCTCAATGCTGCAAACATGTTATAAATAAAAACTCTGGCCTGTAAATCGTTTCTATTTTGTGTTAGTTGTTGCTTTTCTGCAACACATGAGTAAAAATCTATTCGTTTTAATGTTTTATTCATAGATATTTTTCTTGTTTGTGGGAGTCCCACAAATCATTGTATTCTCCCGTAACACACAGAGTGAGTGCATTACCACTCGGACTCGGCCATCAAATCTAGTGCCGTTCCGCACTCAGTTGTGTTGGAAGTGCATGTCTCTAGATAAACGGGAAATATCGGCCCGTGGGCTGGGTCGGGTCAGGTTCGGACACGGGCAG